CGAGAGCAAGACAACAACAACCAAATAATGATCTCCCTTCATCCTCTTCAAACATCCTCAATGGCCTCCGTGAAGACCAGAATATAATATAGTCAAAGCTTTGTAAACTCATCTAGCTATTGGAGAAATCATTTCTCATATCTCTAACGGTGTCTAGTGAGAAAGATGACGAGGAGATGGGTTAGATATTTTTTTAAGGTGTTATTGTTGTTTATGTCTTTCCTTTTTTTTTTCAATTATTTTTTTTACCCAAAATTTTCTTTAAAATTGAATAGAGTTTTGTTTTACCGATCCTAATGCTTATGTTGCTATATGTGTGCATATTTAAGTTTATGGCGTGTTTTTGAACTGACCCAATTGATTGGTTAGGGTGCTAATCTATTGACAAAGACAAAACTTTGCTCATATCTTTTCTGACAGCTCCCAATTTATCTGGAACAACTTCAAGGCATTTTTTAAAGTATTTTCTTGAGAAAAATAAGTTTAAAAAATGTATTAATGTATGTGTGGTAAGCCGTATGTTTTACGAGAAATCCCTAATGTTTTTATAATATATACTCACTCAGGCACATTTGGGCAGGCTTTCACATACTTCGAGTCTTGTCAGATACTTCTATCTTGTAGACATTTACTTGAACTTTACTTTAAAACGAGGCTTGAGTTATATTTTATTTAGGAGTCATCATCAGAGAATCCAACTTACCAAGCTCTATTGATCTGGTTGCGTCTTTAACCGCTTTATTCTTGACTTTAGTTGTTGTCATCAAAGACTAATTGTCATCATCAACAATGTGTTCATCTTTAATGGAACTTCCTTGATTAGTAACCTGTAAAACAAATTTCCACATGTTGTGTACAAAAAAATAATTAAGGATTCATATTAAATTTTTTATTTTCATTTTTAATTTCAGTATCTGGTTTCTTGAATGTACAAAATGCATGTTTTATATTTGTCAAAATTGTGGAAGAATATGAAATTTCAATGACTTATCATTGGAGACTGGGTTAGGCGCAAAGCGAGGATGAACGTGTTGAACTAGTAAAAATTCAGGTGCAATCTTATATTTCCTTATCTCCTTTTAACTTTTTTGTATTGAATTATATGTTTAAGGTTTTATCGTTTTTCTTAGAAATCACGTGTTGTTTGGTTTTGTGGAAACTTGTTTTGTAGGTATTAGGTATCCTTGGTTTTGATGATGACAACTCTGAAGTACATATCAGACACTCGTCATATTGAAGTTGCAATAGAGCTTTGCCTCAATAATAAAAGAATAAAATGAATATACCAACATGATAGAGACGCAATATGATGACTAATGTAGAAAAACAATGAATACACTCAACATAACAAAAGATGCAACATTTTATAAAGTCAATCAATAAGAACAATAAAAGAACAATCAACATAGCAAGAGATGTAACATGATGAATATAAGAGTCGATTAGATGATACTCAGAACAACAAAGATGCAACAATTGAGAAAGTCAAGAAATACACTTAAAAAGTTAAGGCCGGCCATGAGTTTGATAAGGATTGACAAAGAACTTAAATAAAGCTTCAAATATCAACAATAGTTGTCCATACAAAGGAAAATAAACATACTATATCAAAATCCTAAAAGAAATGAAACAGATATACAAAGATCAATAATAGTGAAGGGAAAAACAAATAGAGCTTCAAAAGACATATTAGAGCAGAAGGTCAAACACAATGAAAACATCATACATATGCATAGGGAAGTTACCCAATTTAGCAATTGAGTGAATCAACGTAAGTAAAAATACTTTCCTGTTTGAAGTAGTTGGCTATAAGCAGAGACACACACACACACATACACACGCTTAAAACTTTTTTATAAAATGTTATTGAAAATAAAATGTCTTGAAGAAATATGTAGAAGTTTCCTTGAAAGTGTTGGGAACATTCAAAGAGTCAGAAAAATATTTTTTAAACCGGATCTAATCGATTAGCACAAAGTGTCAATCGATAAGATTGGCGCATTCTTGAGAAACAACGCAATCCAAATGTACCCAAACGATTAGCAACTGATACATGTATATTTCCACCTGTTTTTGAAAATAGACCCGTCAAAATGAATTTATTATGTTTCCTCTTTTGGAGTATTTGAAGCCTAAATAAAGGTCTCATTCCTTGGTTCAAATCATCCAGAACTGGAAATGTGTATTGACACACACACACACACACACACTCACTCTCTCTCTCTCTCTCTCTCTAAGTTTTTTCTACCACTTTCTCTCACTAATTCTTATAGTCAAATATTTTTGTGAGGAAAGTTCTTTTGTGAGGAGAGATTTATGTATTTCTAGTTGTGTAGAAATGTATAAAGTTCTTCAAGAATGTTATTGTTTCACCTTGATGAACATCATCCATGTTTAAGGATAAAAAGGTATGTGGTTCGAAGCTAAACCCGTTAAAAGTTTTGGTTGAAAATTTGTGTGATTAGGTTCCCATAATCTATATAGGTTGGAGATTATCAATGTTGTTGAGATTTCCTTAAGACTAATGTAAAGTCTTCTTTATTCAAATGTTAAAGATCAACAATTTTGACAAACTCACATTTAGGTTCATGATTAACCCGTTATAAAATCATAGGTTAGTTGATCACTCTGTTAAAATCACAAGAGGTTAATAGTTATCCTGCTAAACCATATTGAGCTGAAATATTTTTAGTAGAGAGAAAATATGGTGCTTCAATCTACAAGTTGGGAGAGGAGGTTGGTCACTTCGATCTCAACAATGGAGAAGACGCGAACGTTGATATATTTCGTCTTGTATTTATCATGGCTGTAGGACAACCAAAATTTCCTTGTATAAGGGGGTTCATGAGCTTCATCTACTAAAAGTTCTCAAGTACTTAATAGAAACTCTCAAGACCAGTTCTTGGGGAGAGGAGTAGGTCCTTCAGTTTTGACCAAACTTCTACATATCGTAGTGTTCTTATCCCTTAACTTTTTTACGTTCCACATTTTATCTTAAAATTATTGTTTTGTTGCTAAGTTATAAATACGTTTTTTGAAACTCTAATAAAACTTAGGTTTTAGAAAATATATTTTAAACTAAGTTTTTAATTTTCGAAAAATATTTTAAAACTATATTTTTCCAAACCACACAATTCATCACCGCCCTCTTGTGTGTGAAGTCTCAAGTCCAACAAATTTAATTTGTTCATAATATTTTGTTGATTAAAGTGTAGATTTGATATGTCGTTTAACTTTTTCATAACATTTTGTTGATTAAAGTGTAGGTTTGATATCTCATCCATATTCACCTCCAACAATATTTGTAAGGGAAATAATAAGTTGACACCATTTCATAACATTTTTTTAAGAGTTTGTCTTGTCTTGATTTTGGTGCAAGAATATTTTTCTTTGCTAAAACTAAAAGTGGTTAAATGGGTCTGATCCGTCGAATCATTTGTTTTACCCGTATTTTAGTGTGAAGTAGATCAATGGTTTAGATTCTCACTCTCTAATGTGATTGTTCTGTTCTACCCTTTTTTTACGTGCATTCTCAACAATATCTGCTCCGTACCTATTCAATTCAATTTTTTTTAGTGTATGATACGGTGTAAGAAAGAAAGGTGTTAAAATAACATTGTGTAGAACCTCATTGTGTAGACTTGTAAACCCCCTTCTAATAAAATTTCACCCATATTCTCCCGCCGACAATAATTCCAGAGTTTTAATTGCTTAGACTTGTTAGAGTTTCTTCTTTAGGCATTTATACTCTTTTCTGGATTGGGCTTGCCTTGGCCCAAAACACAAGTAAAGGCCCAGATCCAAGCAGTTTCTTGAGCCATGTTCGAAATCAGACCACCCCGAGCACACCCAGTTACAGGCCACAACGGTTATGCCCGCAGCTACCCGCAACGAGCAGCGTCCCCGACCGAAAGTACTCCAACTCGAGCCTTGCTCGAGCATCCTCCCTGTAGAGTAGACTCAACCCCCTCTGGATGCTGCGGAATCCTTAGAGCTCCGAGAAGACCGCGTCTTCGTTCTTCCTCATTCTTCGCAGAGCACCATCCAGGAAGGGGACCACGTGCGGGTTCCCACTACACACGTAGAACCTGGCAGTCTCTTTGTTAGGCCAGCTCTGGTCGGCACAATAAAGAGACTTTGGCCCAGCGCTGGGGGTTATAAATACTCTTTATTCCAAGAGGGTCAGGTATTCATTCATTACGCACCTACATATTATTTGTCTGTCCATTCCGTCTCTCATTTTATCATCAGAGTGTCTTGCAGGTACCCTCTCCCCCATCTCATTCGAATCCAGTTCGAGTCAACTGCGACGGTCCAACTCTGATCCGATAAGATCAATATATATATATATATATATATATATATATATATATATATATATATATATATATATATATATATATATATATATATATATATATATATATATATATATATATATATATATATATATATATATATATATATATATATATATATATATATATATATATATATAATAGATTGACTATTCAAACATAATGTTTTTAAATTAAATAAATATATATAAATATTTACATAAAATGGTTCAAATATTGTAGAGTTTTTTTTATAATATTGATCAAAATTTGATATATATACTAAATTTTATATAAATTTTAAAGAAGTACTCAGATAAAGCTACATTCAAAAAATTATTGTTCTCCCTATTATTTACATTTTCTGTAGTAAGTGTGAATTGTTGTTATTTTTGGACAGAATAAAATAAATACTAAGTTAAAAGTAAGTATGTTGTTCTCATAAAAGAAAAAGTATGTTAAAACTGTGGTTAAACAAGTCTTCGTTGATAGTAGATGATGATGATGTACTTCATACAATGGATCATTCAAAAAAAAAGTAGAAAGCATTGTAAAACCAAACTGATAAGCAATATTAGGGAAAACCAAAATCCAGCAAATCAACATTCCTTCCTAGTAATATTTTGAAGATAATCAGAGACCCGCTGCTTCATTCCTTGCAAATCAACATCCCTTCTTGATAAAAACACTTGTCAAGACCATCTTAGATTGTAGAGAAGCCTTCAGCAACTTGATTCCCTGTTACAAAATACCAAAAAAAAAAAAAAGAATATATAACTAAAAAATAATGCAACAAATTAAAAAGTTGTATACATGACTAAGTTTGATTTTACCTCGTCCATTCCCATTTCAACAACTTTTTCTTGCAAGGTACCAATTTCTTTGATGTTGAACTTGTTCAACAATGTGATGCTTGATATTGTTGACATTGGCTGAATCACCAAATCATCCATCACCATAAAAGTCACAACATCCTTCACAAAACCACTCTTGATATTGGAAAAAGCTTTCGTTTCAGCAACCATCTTCTTTCCGATAAAACTTACTTCTTTGTTCATAGAATAATGCCCACATGTACCAACCATAGAAGGATCATATGTTACCTCATGACGACATCTATGTTTGCACATGTATAACTTAATTCCTTCTTCATCATCGTCTTCATTGGCATCGTTCTGAGTAAGGAAGCCTGAGATTTCAGTGGAAGAGCTTTGAGCTTTTGGGCATAAGAGAACATCCTTAGTTTGGTTTGGTTGCATGTAATTCTGGTTCAGATTTTCGACACTCTCATACAGATTTCCTAAGCTGCCAACCATGTTGTTAGCACTTAGGAGCTTAACAACAGTACCAATAGGCAAGCATAGCAAGTTGAAGAGAAAATCTATGACAGGTTTTGAAGCTTCAGCAAAGAGAACTTTCTGATTCTTTGTGTCAATAAGAAGCTTCAGTGACACTTTATTGGAAGAAGAAGATGAAGCCATATTACTTGAAAGACTTAATATGAAAAAGCTATTCTTTATAGACAAATTATTACAAAGTGTTGAGTGTGGAAGATCTATCTAAACAATTAATAATATTGTAAAAATAAAAGCATTCACTAAGTTGATGTGATTCGCTGCAAAAAAAAAGTAGATGTTATGATTACTAATGCACAGTAAAACGCCGCTACAAATATCAGTAATCTTCACTGCAGCAGAATAGGGTCTCTTCACTGCAGCAGAATAGGGTCACTGCTTAATAATTTATTTTTGTTTTAAATTATATATGTTAAAGAAGTTTCAGATGGATTAAATTTGTAAAAAAAGAAAAAGTGTTTAAAATTATATAATGTGTTAAATTTGTTATTGTAAAATATATTAATTAAAAATACTTTAAATTTATATTAGAGTATTATGAAATACAACTATATATTTAAATATTTGTTTAGAAAGTGTATGTGAGATACAGCTAAATATATAAATATTTGTTTCAACAAAATGCTCGTTATTATTTGCATATTAACTCTGCTGCTTGTGATAGATGCAATTTCTTGTGAATTATAGTGTGATATATTTTGCTGATGTTTTTCAAGTGATTCATCCCTCCTCAGAGGAGCTTTTCATTGAGAGGCTTTTTTAAATAAAATAAATTATGTGAAGCATCATTTTACACAATGTTTTTAAATTTTCGATTTAAAACCTAGATTCTATAGATTTCATGTTTTTATATCAGTATTTTGTGTTAAATTATAGGTGAAATTTTTTTATGTAAAATCATATTTTGGAATATTTTTAAATGATTTTAATCGCTCTGAAATCAATAAAATCGTGTAAAATCGTTGGATTTTACTTTGTAACCCGGTTTTACCTTTTTTGTCAAATTTTAAAAAACACATTTTATATTTTGCCCCATGAAAACTTCGCTCATACTTTTTAATTTTATTCACATACATATCTTAGTTATAGTATTGAAGAATTTTTATCATCTAGATATAAATTTAATCAAGCTGAATATGAATAAATTAATGAAGATGATGTCGTAAATAAATTGAACTTTTGATTAAATTAAAGATGAAGATAAAAACACTTGTTTCTTTGAACTTGAGAAACTTGTGAATTTTTTGTTTTTTGGGATAGTCTTTTGAATGTTACTTCTTATGGTTTGGTGGGTAATTTAGATAGTATGATACAAGTTTGTGAGTACTACACTTTATTACGATGATATAATGTATTTTTAATTTATAATTAAGTTAGAAGTTTAAATTATTGATGTATTTACAATATTATATAAGTATATATATATGTCGTGTATATAAATTTAATATTATTTTAATATGATGTAAACTCTATAATTTTATATTTCGATTTTACATTTTGATTTTACCTAGTCAAAATGAGTCAAGGTAAAAACTCGATTCTGACAACCTTGATTTTACATAAATGACATCATATTTATAACACATTGTTGATTGATGGATGTATTGACGTGACTCTTCGGAGAAAGGGGTGAGATTTGGTTTTTCGATTATCAGGAGCTTTTTGTTCTACCTATATATAATTGGGTGAAAATTGTTGAGAAAAGCCATCATTGTGAATTTTTAACTCTTACATATCTCGGAAGTAATTCATATTCAAAAGTTATTGTTAGATTTAGAAATTTTGGTGCCCTTTACTTAAAAACAGTGTTGCTCATAAGTAGTAGAGCTTCTGAGATTGTTAGCCAAAAAATGTAACCTTATAAGATTGTTTAGTTGGAAGCATTAATTTGATATATTCAAAAACATATGTATTAGTCAGAAGCAAAAACTTATGAAGTGACTATTTAAGAAGTATATTTAGCTTCTAGAGTTCTGGTTGTTTGTTAGCTTATCTATTATGTTAACATAATCTTTAAGTTTTGTTTGTGCCTACGTGACAGTTTACTTTGTGTATATATACTAGTTTGTAATTTGGGTTTTATGATGTGTGTGGACCATTTCCAGTATCTTCACTTGGAGGAAACAAATATTTTGTGTCTTTTATGGATGAGCTCACAAGAATGACATGGGTAACATTCATCAAATTCAAGTACGAAGTGTTTACTGAGTTTCAAAAGTTCAAGGTGAAGGCTGAGAAGCATAGTGGCCAGAAGCTGAAGATTCTGAGAACGGATGGTGGAGGTGAGTATAACTCTACAGAGTTCCAGAAGTTATGTGAGGAGAATGGAATAGAACACGAGGTTACTGCTCCATATACTCCTCAGGACAATGGTCTTGCTGAAAGAAGAAACAGAACTTTGCTTGATATGACCAGAAGTATGCTGAAAGAGAAGAAGCTACCTCACATATATGGGAAGAAGTTGCTGCCACATCAGCATATGTTCTGAATAGGTGTCCAACGAAGAAGTTGAAGTAAATTGTTCCTTTAGAAAAGTGGACTGGAGACAAGCATAGTGTTAGTCATCTGAGGGTGTTTGGTTATGTATGCTACGAACACGTTCCAGAGGCTAGAAGACGGAAATTGGATGATAGAAGCAAAGTAATGTACTGGTGGGGTACCACAGTACGCCTATAAGCTTTATTGTCCAGAAACTAACAAAGTTGAAATCAGCAGAGACATTATTGTGAAAGAGTCAGAAACATGGGATTGGAACAAGTTTCAATCAGATTCTGGTGTAGCGCCAACACCAGAGTTAGTTTCTGAAGATTCTTCAGAAAGTTCTGAAGACGAGTCAGAAGATAAATCTGAAGACTCTGAAGATGAGTTAGAATCTCAGGGAGATTCTGATAGTGGATCTGATTCTGATCCAGATTCTGATGATGATCCATAATCTGGTGGTGATTATATTTCTGGAATGGAAAATTCTGAAGACATAGGGTCTGGAGGACAAGCTTCCGGAAGTAACTTTGAAGGTGGTAATTCTGAAGGAAGTTGTTTTGGACAAGGTCCAGAAGCTAGCATTGTTCCAAGTTCTGGAGAAGCTTCAGAACAAGTTCAGAGGCCACACAGAATCAGACGAATACCAAGTAGGTTTGCAGATTTTAGCATGTTGCATGGTACTAAAGTAGATTATGAAGGAGAAATCGTTAAGTGTGCTATGTTAGTAGATTCTGAACCAGTAGGTATTGAAGAAGCTCTCAAGAATAAAGTATGGCTGAATTCCATGAAAGAAGAACTTGAGGCTATTGAAAGAAACAAAACTTGGAAGCTGACGAAGCTTTCAGAAAATAAGAAAGCCATCGGCGTCAAATGGGTTATCAAGGTGAAGCTTAAGCCAGATGGATCAATTGACAAACACAAAGCGAGACTAGTGGCTAGAGGTTTTCTTCATAAACTTGGGCTAGATTACTTTGAGGTGTTTGCGCCTGTAGCTAGGCACGAAACAATTAGACTGGTGGTTGCTTTAGCTGCAAAAAAAATTAGCCTTCGATACACCTGGATGTGAAGTCTGCATTTCTGTATGGTCCGTGTGTCGCAACCTCCTGGATTTGTGAAAAAGAATCAGGAAGGGATGGTATACAAGTTACATAAAGCCTTGTATGGACTGAAACAAGCGCCCAAAGCTTGGAATCTGAAAATTGATTCGTTTTTCAAGAGGCAGAAGTTTCAGAAATGTGAGCTGGGATATGGCATGTATGTGCAGCATTCTGGTGGCAATATGATTCTGGTGTGTCTATATGTTAATGACATATTGCTAACATGAAGTTATCCTGAAGATATAATCAAGTTCAAAGAAGTTCTGATGAATGAATTTGAGAAGACAGATCTGGAAAATATGGTATATTTTCTAGGAATGGAGCTTATGTACTCAAAGAAGGGTATCATTCTACATCAGCTTAAGTATGAACTGGAACTTCTGAAGAGATTTAAGCTGCAGAATTGCAAAGTTGTTGTGACACCATCAGAAACCAATCATAAATTGAATTTTGATTCTGATGGTGATTCTGTGGATGCTACAACCTTCATGCAGTTGGTTGGTTCTCTTAGGTACTTGTGCAATATCAGACCTGGCATTTGTTATGCAGTTGGAATGGTTAGCATATTCATGAGTAAACCAAAGTGGTCTCATTATCAAGCTGCTGTCAGGATTCTGAGGTATATCAAAGAAATTCTGAAATATGGAGTGTTATTTCCTTCTAGAAGACAGACAAAACCAGAATTAATGAGTTATTCTGATTCTGACTGGTGTGGAGACAGATTTGACAGAAGAAGTACTTCTGGTTACTTGTTCAAGTTTCTGGGAGGTCCAATTTCTTGGAGTTCCAAGAAATAGCCTGTTGTGGCTCTGTCAACATGTGAAGCTGAATACATTGCAGGTGTTGTAGCTGCATGTCAAACTGTTTGGCTTCTGAATCTTCTGGAGGATTTGAAGATTGAGATAGAGAAACCTCTGAAGTTGTTGATTGATAACAAGTCTGCAATCAATCTTGCCAAGAATTCAGTGCTGCATGGAAGAAGCAATCATATTGAGACGAAATATCATTTTCTGAGAAGTCAAGTGCATAAAGGATTGTTAGAAGTTCTGCACTTTAGCACTCAGAAGCAGCTGACAGATGTTCTGACGAAGGCAGTAAAAACAAACCAATTTCTTCGCTTAAGAAATGAAATTCGTGTTGTTAATTTCTGATAGTTACTAAATTACGGGATGATATTAGAGAGTAATTTAGTATTTATCATTTGTGGATATTCTCTTTAGGGCCTATGTGACATTTTTATCTTTACTAGTCGATAACCCGTGATGTCGCACGGGGCCGGTCGAGAATTCATAAAACGTGGAACTAATGTTGTCATGTAACAGTAAATTCGTTTTTATGTAATTCAATAAAAGTTCATCTAATTCGGCCAAATTTAGTGTATCAAACTTATTTGACAACATTAAAAAATGTAAACTGAAATCATGATTGTGTAACAAAATAAGAAACTGTGATGACTCTTCAAAATAAGAAACTATCACGAGTCTTCAGATACAACGCAACCAGCTTGGAAACGATGTTTTCAACTTTTTGACCTGCACAATAAATTAT